CAGAGCTGGGAGTGGCACGGGTGCCCAGAGCTGGGCATGGCACGGGTGCTCAGAGCTGGGAGTGGCACGGGTGCCCAGAGCTGGGCATGGCACGGGTGCCCAGAGCTGGGAGTGGCACGGGTGCCCAGAGCTGGGAGTGGCACGGGTGCTCGGAGCTGGGCATCCCTGGGGAGTGGGTGCAGGGGGCAGGGGGCAGGCAGGAGGTGGCAGAGGTGACACGGCTGCGAGGTGGCAGCTCTGTCCCAGCCTGGTGAGCCCCAGCAGTGCTGCCACCCCCAGCTGCAGGGAACAGGGGCCGAGAGCCTTGCAGGAGGGGCTGGGCCATCAGGGCAAGTTCCCTACAGTGCCAAACGATTCTTTAGGGTCTGACAGCAGAGGTGAGGTGCTTATTTGGCATTTGAGGAAAAAAAATCAGCCTTGAAATACAGAGCTTTGGCTGCACAAACTGCAGAAACAGGGCTGGCAGCTTCAGCTGGGCACGTGCTGAAAGGGGCTGGGGGTTTGGGGCTGGGGGTTTGGGGGGCTGGGGTTTGGGGGACAGGGGTTTGGGGGACAGGGTTTTGAGGGTCAGGGGTTTGGGGGACAGGGATTCATCTCTGGGTACCTCTGTGTGGAAGCCTGGGCAGTGGCGTGCCAGGATCGATTCCCTGAGCCGCTCCCAGAAGGGCAAGGCTGGCGCTGACGTGTGTGAGGGGAGGGAGACGTGCGTGTCTTCTGGTCTGGCAAACAGAGGCTGGGGAGATGCTGGAGAAAAGCAGAGCTGTGGGAGGAAAATTGCCCACCTGTTCCCTTGGGTACAATCTTCCATTTTTGGCCACATGCACTTTTCAGCTGAGATACCCGCGAACGCCAGATTCTCCCTTTTTATTCCCAGCAGTGACCTCAGAGCGTGTGCCACGAGTGGCAATGAGCTCAGAGGAACAGAATTGTTCCCAGCCCTCCTCTGACGTCCGCTCCACACTTTGTTCTGCCGAGTTTTACCAAAACGCCTGCTCCGGCTGGGGATATTCCATAAGGTTTATAAATCTGCCACGGGTTTGCTTAAAACTCCTCCTGGGGCCGCTCAGGAATCCCCGGGGCCGTGCTTTGTCTTGCTGCCTCGTGTCTCTGGGTGCCAGCGCGTGCCCTGACCGTGTCCCTGTGCTCTCTCTGCAGTTTGCTGCTTCGTGGTGCACAAGCGGTGCCATGAGTTCGTCACCTTCTCGTGCCCCGGCGCTGACAAGGGCCCTGCCTCGGATGTGAGTACGGCTGGGGCTGGGGGCTGGGGGCTCCCAGCTCCTGGGCGAGCTGCTCCTCCAGCCCCCTGCCTGAGGGCACTGCTGGGTGGTTCCTTCACAATTCCTGGGGTGGTGGAGGTTGGAAAAGCCTCCAAGAATCACCAGGTCCAACCATTCCCCACCACTAGCCCGTATCCCCTCCTGCCACATCCACAAGGCTTTGGCTTCCCTTCAGGGACTGGGATTCTGCAGCTGTGGGGACTCTGCCAGGTTTTTGGGATACTTCAAGCACCCAAAGCTGCAGTAACGTGTGCTCAGCAGAGCGGAGGGCACACACGGGGAGGCAGAGCTTTCCCTTTGGGGCTGAGCCCGCCGCCTCGCCCCCGTGTCCTGCTGTCCCTTGTGCCAGGAGAGCATCCCAGCAGCTGCCAGCTGGGTCCCAGCCCTGGTTCCCCGAGGATTTCTGTCCCAGTGATGCCCTGGCCTGGGGGCAGCGGAGCTGGGGAGCCCGGCTCTGCCAGCAGCACCCAGCTCTGTCTGGCAGGTTCTGTGCTTTCCCGTGGAGACTGGCTAATTCGGGGAACTGCTGGGGGAGAGGAGCTCAAATTGGGGAAACGACAGAGCACCACAGCTCTCACCCTTAAAAATAGCAGTGGTGGGAGCAGGCGGCGTGCCAGGCTGCGGGAGCTGGGGGATAACACGCCTTGGCTCCCGAAATGGGCTGTGCCCTGTGCCCAGAGGGGCTCTGGGGAGGAGAACCGCGGGGGCACAGCAGTTGTGAGGTTGGTGCTGGTGGCTGCTCCCCTCCCGAGCCGCTCTCTGCTCAGGGAGCAGCTCAGCACCCACGGCCCGTCCTCCCCGGGGCAGCCAGGCTGGGGGGAGGCAGCACGGTGGCACTGCTGTCACCCACGGGACACAAGCCCCTGAGGGCTTCCTGTGCCAGGGACAAGCAGGGACTGTCACCCACGGGACACAAGCCCCTGAGGGCTTCCTG